CTGAGCTCAGCCTTGCTTGATCCATGCCCCTGGTCTGTCTAGGAGCCTCATCCACAGGGCCGCAGCTCCAATGGCCCATCTCTGCACCCTGACAAGCTCCTATCCCTTGGCCTGTGCGCCCGGGGCCCACCATGCCTCCTCTCTCCAAGCTCTCCGGTCATGGGAAGTATTTACTTTGCCTGCTATCACAGGCTGAATGGTGGACCCCCAGAAGATATATGCCCGTGTGCCTGAACCTGTGAATGTGACCTTATTTGGCATGAGGGTCTTGCAGAAGTAATTAAATTAAGGACCTCAAGGTGAGATCATCCTGGATTTAAATGGGCCCTGAATCCAGCGTGTCCTTATAAGAGACAGAAAAGAAGACACAGACACAGGAAGGGGAGAAGGCCTCGTAGAGACAGGAAGGGGAGATGGCCTCGTGAAGACAGAGGCAGGGATTGGAGTGATTAGCCACAATCCAAGGAACGCCAAGGATTGTTGGCAACCACCAGAAGCCAGGAGAGGTGCATGGAACAGCTTCTCCTTCGGGGCCTCCAGAAGGAACCAACCCTGTTGAAATCTTAGTTTTGGCCTCCTGGCTGTCTGAACTGCAAGAGAATAAATTCCTGTTGTTTCAGGCCACCCAGTTTGTTGTACTTTGTTACAGCAGCCGCAGGAAACTAAAACAGAGGTCTGTGTTTCCTGGAAGACTGTGAGCTCCACGAGTTCCCCCCGCGCCACCCCCCTCTCCCCACCTCCCTGATGGCTTTGTTTGCCTCTCACTGGGTCCCCTGGGGCCTAGTGTTGAGCTGGCCTTCAGGAACTGTGCCCAATGACTAATACATGAATCCTGAGGCGGAAACAGGATCGTAGGAAATAGGGGCTTTCCTGGAGCCAGACAGAATATCCACTTCTTCCAGGTGGGAACTGGAAGCAGTAGGGTATGGGGGACCCCTTGCTGGGGGTACCCACCAGCGGACCTCAGGGCTGGGTGTGTTCCTCTGTACACTCCGTGACACGAGCAGTGATATGGCAAGTGTTGCAGGTCCACTTTGTCACCCGATTACTCATTCAACAAACGCTCAGAGTATCAGTTCTGGGCCAAGGGCAGCCCTGGGTGCCAGTGATGCAAAGATTATTAGGGCATGGTTGGTGACCTCAAGGAAACTCAGGTTGCTCCGAAGGAGGACCTTCTGGAGTATTCCCAAGGCTATCGCTCCTCTCTTCATGACAAAGAGGGAAGTTGTCTCACTGAATAATCATAGAGTTTGAGAACTCAGAAGAAATCAGACACCGCCACGTCCCCCTCTGCCACCAAGCATGGAATCAGCAGGCCGTGAAAGCATTCTCAGGTCCGTGGGAGGGAGCGTGAATTTCTGTACTTTTAGGGACTAGATTTCAATAGAAAATAGACGCTTATTGTTTGCTTTGTGCTATTTGGAAATGGAAGGTTGGTGCGTTGAAATTTCAAGAGACTGATGATATAGCTCAGGTACTTGAAGTTATACAATCAAATGACAGCCTCCCCCCTTCCCCACCCACCCCCTAAACAAAGGAAAATTAAGACAAAGCAAAAACCAAAACCTTTGCAAGCTCCTGCCTCACTCAGGAAAAGCCAAAGTTCTCCAGTGGCCCAGCAGGCCCTGCACCGTCTGCCCTGCCTTCACCTCCCACTCACCCCTTGCTCTCCTGGCTGTTCCTTAAACTCAGGCACGCTCCTGCTTCAGGGCCTTTTCACAGGCTGTTCCTTCTGCCTGGAAGGTCCTTCCCTCAGTATTCACATGGCTCTCCCCTTACCTCCTTCAACACTTTGTTCAAACGTCACCTTCCCCGTGAGGCATTCACTGACCATGTTACTTAAAACTGCACCCAATACTCTCTACCCACTTGTTTTCTATTTCTCCATCACGCTCATCACAGTCTAGCATGTTAGATGATTTATTTATTTATTCTTAATTTTCTTCTTTCTCACTCCACTCACTAGACTGTCAGCTCTGCAAAGGCAGGAGCTTTTGCCAGTTTTGTTCACTGCTGTGTCCCCAGCATCAAGAACAGGACTGGGCACATTGTAGGTATTCAATAAATATTTACTGAATGGACGATGCTTATTATGTGTCAGGCACTATGCTGGGTCCTTCAATGATTAACAACTAATGAGAATAACTAATATTTAAGGAGACCTGAGGCAGGTTTACCCCAACTGCCTTAGAAATATGTGTTTGTGTTAATTGCCCACTTGCTCCATGCCAGGCCTGTGTGAAGTTCTTCTCAGGGGTTAGCTGTCTTGAGTTCTGGCTCTGGGGGAGTGAGAAAGTTGGGAGTGGCTATGATTAGTCCTGTTTCACATGGGAGGAAACTGAGGCTCTGAGAGGTTTGTTATTTGTCCAGGGGAATGCAGTGAGCAGAATTCGAACTCAGCACAGTCACGCTGCAGAAGCCAAGTTCTTAATACCACGTTCTTTTGCCTCCCCAATGCCCTACCTTGCCCAGTTTTCACACCTCTATGAAGTCTGTACCTTCATTAGCCCTGTTTTTAAAGGAGGCCACGGAGACTCAGAGAAGTGAAGTCACTTGCCCAAGAACACACAGCTGCAGAGTGGCAGAGCTGGGAATCAAACCCAGGGCTGCTCAGTCGTAGAGCCTGATGCTCCACTGCTGCCGTGGAGTGAGCAGGTGGTGACAAGACAGCATGGGTGGAGCCTGCTTTAGGTACAGTTTCCTCAAGTTGGGTGAGGGCTGGGGTGGAGCTGTGGGTCTCAGGGGCTTGCCTGGAGATTTGGTTCCTGGACCTGAGCCGAGAGCACTGACCCAGAAGACCTTGGACTCACCTCAGTCTTTAGAGTTACCAGTTGTGGGCTGAGAAACTTTCACATTGGGATACAAAGATAACTGACACACAGTGCTTGTTCTGTGCCAGGCCCCGTTGTGTGCTTATATATCTGAAAATCCTTACAACCCTAGAAGTACTATTATTATGCCTATTTTACACTTGAAGAAACAGAGGCACAGAGAGGTTAAGTCACTTGCTCAAGGTCACACAGCTAGAAAGTGATCGAGCTGAGATTCAAACCTAGAAGCAGGAGCAATGATAGAGGAGAGGTAGGGGCCATCAAACATTGAACTAGATCTTCACACCCACCTGAACAGGCCTGGCAGAATCAATGTGTAGAAAAACAGAAGTGAGGAAGCTATTTCTATGACATGTGAGGAAAAAAAAAACCATAGCATACAGTATGTACCACTTGTATAAAAAAAGAAAAATATATTCGTGCAGCATCAGAAGGAAATGCACAGGAGACACTGGGAACATTCACTGGGGGTGGACTCAAAAGCAGGGTGGGAGGGAGAATTTTTAACTCTATGTGCCCTTGTAAATTTGGTACTGCGATTACATAGCCAAAAATTGAAACTGAACATTTAGAAATTATGCTTATGCTTATATAAGCAGACTCTCTCTGGGAGGACGCACAAAAAACATTTTTAAAAAAGGAAAAATTTTCTAATGCCATGGCTTGTCTACAGTGGTCCTGAGGAGGGAGGGAACTCAACTTTTCACCACAGGCCGAATGTAAATTTTGAGTTTTCTACTGTTTGAATCAATGCGACACTCCTGGTGCAATGGATAAAGATGAAGTGGGCCCAAAAAAGAGGCAGCTCCACATGCACCGATATGGAAGGAACTCTGAAACGTGGTCAGATAGGCAGCATGGGAAAGTAAAAAAGATCCATTAACTGGAAGCTGAGGAGGAGGAGAGGTCCACTTGCAGACAACCAGACACTTGACACACACAACCGCGCCCAGTGTGGGCAAAAGCTGTACATCTGAGGGGCAGTCTTTCTGCCCACTAGGGTCCTTTCTGTCTTTTTCACTGTGAACATTTTCCTAGACTCACACTGCCCCATCCACCGCCCTGGTTAGGTTATTGCTCTAAATAAGTTACCAGAACTGTGACACATTGAGGCTTTGTGCACGTTTGTGCTGGTGGCCCTTGGATATGAAGTTCACAGGCACCTGCTATGTAATGAGGGAGACGGGGGCGGGGGGATTGGCAGCCCTGGGGTTCTGTGACCCCAACCGAGGCCAGGGCCAATTCTGCAGTAAATGTCATCTTGGTCCCTGGTTCAGTAAACAAATATTGTGATAAGGTCCCTTTTGGCTCTGATACTCCAAGGGTCACCTCCCAACTAGGATGGCCTCTCTGGGCTCCACATGGCTGCCCTTCTAAGACACCCATGTCTTACCCAAGTCACCGCTAACCACGTGTGGCTGCGGCTACCAAGCAACTTCTATTGAATCTTAAAGAATTTCTGTTTTAAAAGACATAAAACATTCCCATCACTGAAGAAAGTTCTCTTGGACAGCACTGCTCTTAGACTGTTTTCAGTGGTTAAATTCTTTCAGTGGGAAGGGAAAGCCACTCCTAGGTTGACGTTAAACATGGTGTTATTTAAGTTTTTACATCAAGACGTTTCCTAGCAAAATAGCAATACATTGTTTTCCGGCTGTGTAATTACTTACCTTAAAATAAAACCAGTTCCTTAAAAAAATTGCAAAGTAAAAGCAGTTTCAGTGGCCTGCAAATAAAGGGAGGGCAGGAAATAGGTCTTCACCAGGGCAGGACCAGCCCTGGGCTGGAATCCTAGTCTGGTTTGGCCAGGGTCTGCCTGACACCAGCCTGTTCTAGCAAGTAAGGAGTGGGGGGAGATACATACACCTCCCTTTGGCCCCAGCAACCAGACCTTGGAATATTGGGAGGGGACCTGCTTAACTTTGGCCCCAACCTTCACAGAAAGCAAGCTCTGAGTCCACTGGGCTCTGGATCGAGTCCTGTGGGGTGCTGTTATCCACACCACATCCAGCTCAAGGAGGGTGACTTCTCTCTCCCTTGCAGAGGACTCCTGCCTTCTGCTCACCCCTCCCTCCCCCCCACCCCCCCCGGCCGCCTTTGGGGGGCTGCCCAGACCCCCCCCCCAGCCCATCAGCAGAGCCCTCAAACAGAGTCACAGGACCGCTCCCCTGAGGTTTAGCATCAGTCTTTAATGCTGTCACACTGCACATTGACAAGTCACACACTTTGGTCTTGTGTTGGCAGTGGCAACTTACAATGAGTCGAAAGGTCTGAGCACCAGACTGGCCTGCAAGGAACAGATACTTGTTCCTACATGCCTCCCCCCGCCCCCACCAGGCTCCTTCCGAATTCCGTCAGGGCCCCTTACAGAGAGCAGCAGCTGCCGTGGACTGGTTTCATTTGCGTGCACACCAACTTTACACGGAATCATAAAGACACATTTACAGACGTTCCACGGTGCTCCTGTAATCAGAAGCAAAGGCCCTTTTATCAAAAGGGATTATACCTGGGGCTGTGCAAAATGCAAAAGGATCAGGTCCTTTTGAGAGTCCAGAGTCCATTAAATGAAAAATTACCTGGGCCACTGGTAAATCCCAGGTGTGCCAAAAGATTGCCTTACAGAAAAGGAAAGTGAGCGCACCCAGCCTTGGAGCCAGGGGTTGAGAGGACCCCCTGCTCCGGCCAGGACCCCAGACGCTCGAGGGAGAGGCAGCTGCACAAGTTACTCGCTCACTGGAGGCCGGCTCCCTTGGTCTTGCTGGAACGAGAGAGAGGTATTGCTTGTGGGAGCCGGCCAGGCAGTTCGGCAAAAATAGTCTAGGTTCTCAATTTGAGATGGCAAGAGAAAAGACGGGATTCTTCAGGGGAAGAGTAAGACGTGGGAGACAAATACAGGATAAAACATGAACTGGTTACACAACAGAAACTGAGGAGTGTACAGGACCTGGTAACCAAGAAGGCAGGTCCATACCACGTCTAACATCTGCAAGCAAAGGGACTACAGAGGGATCAAGTCCAGCTCTGGGTCTGCCTCTCCCCCTGGGCAGGGCCTGGGGGAGGAGGGTGTGGGCCCATCCCGGAGGGTGGCAGGACCCAGCGGGGCAGACTGGACTGCCTTTTCCTGCTGTCCCCACCACCTGCCACCCTATCGCTCGAAAAACCACTTAAGTCTAGTGCACGACTTTAAAAGATTGTGTAATATATTCTCTGGAAAACATTCAGCAGTACAAAAGCCCGCCCTGGGCCCTCCCGCCCTCTCGCGGGTCCACAGCTGGTGGAACAGTCTGGAAATCCTTGAGCTCTGGAAAGGTGCCTGGTCAGTCCTTGGGGAACACAGTTGACTATATCGGAAGAACCTGCTCAAGAACGGTTCTTGACGTCTGGGGAATCCTTTCGGGGAAGATCACTTCAAACTCAATAATAAGGTCTCCACGTTTCTCGGGCATTTTGGGGAGAGGAAGTCCTTCTCCAGGAACTTTTCGCCGCATGCCAGGCCTGATGACATCTTTGAATACAACAGGTATGGTCCTGCCGTCCAGAGTTGGGACATTCACTGTACAGCCACACAGAGCCTTGGAAAGCAAATGGACAACATTAGATAGAGAGTAGCTTCGGAAGCTCACATCCTGCCCAGAGACTGTTTAATGTAAGGTAAGCACCATGAGGCCTTTGTAGCTAAGACCCTGCCCCCAGATCCACCCAGGTCACCAGCACAGAAGCTCTGGAAAAACAGAGCCCTGGAAAGTCTTGTTGCTACTGCACCTCCCAAGCCTGGCACACACCAAGAGCTCAGAAATATGTGTCAAGCAAATACTGAACTGTGTCAAAAAGCAGCCTTCTCCCTCCGCAGACGTTGCCCTGCCTAGTGCCTTACCTCCCGAAGGGTGATCCTGGCTGGGTAAATGACATCAGAGCCATCTCTCTTAAAGATATTGTGTGGCTTGTCCTTTAAAACAAAGACAATGTCGGCTGGAATGTTGTTGGAGGTCTGGTCTCCTTCCTTGGGGAAGGTGATTTTGGTCCCTTCTTTCCACCCCCGCTTCACTTCAATGGTCAAGATTTTGTCTTCGTTGCGAATGCTCTTTCCATCAGGGTTCAGCCGCTTATGAGAGATTTTCATTTTCTTGGTACAGCCGCTATAGATCTCTTCAAGTGATACCCTGAGGTCATGGGTGACAGGGGGATCTTGCTTCTTTCGGGTGGGCTCTTGGGCAGGGCGGGAGCGGCCAAAGTTCATGTTGGTGAAGCCACCCATGCCCATAGGGAAGCCTGAGAATGGGTCATCGATGTCCATGCCTTCCTCCCCGTTGCGCTGCCCAAAAAAGGTGTCAAAGGGATTTCGGCCACCGAAGAACTCAGCAAACATGGCGTGAGGGTCTCCATGGAATGTGTAGCTGAAAGAGGTACCGTTAGCACCACCGCTGCTTCCGCCACTGGGGCCACTGCCCTTTAGGCCTGAAAAGCAAAAGCAGAAGAAATCAGATGGCTGGCTAGGAGCTTAGCTCTCCAGGAGCTTTCCTTAAGGAAAAAAGCTTAGGAGCCATTGCGGGAGGGGTTTTTTTAGCCTGTCTGGGAAGAATAATGAAGAACCCCAAGCTTTTACCTCCCACTTGCAGCGGCAAAAACAGAACCCTTACTCCCCAAGGTAGGTAGTTCATTGTGGCATGACAGTAGTGAAAGGCTCAAGCTCTGAGATGGCCATATCTCTTGGGGTCACCCAGGTCCTCACACCTGAGTAACCCATCCTTCCTGCAGTGTTACAAGGAGTACAAAGAATTCACTAACAGATCCGATGAAAAAAGCACAACCCAGGATCAATTTTCACTAAATGTTTACTCTTAAATACTTTAGGGCTAGAGACGTGTGGGGGAGTAGAGATGAAGGTGAAACTGTAAACGGAGACTTTCAAGTTCTCACACCCTGGCACTTACTACCACCATTCTTATATAAAAAGTCACTTATTTCTGAAGACCAAGCCCAGAAGCCAGCCTGAGTCATCAACGAGCAACTGGACACCAAGAAAGCTTTCTTTTTCCCTGAAGAGGGCGACCCCGGGGAGGCTGGGCAGAGACAGGCCCCATTGCTCCATACACCTTGACGGCCGACTACGTGCCCGGCACGGCACGGAGCCAAGTAAGCACTTTACAGGGATTGCCTCACTCCACCCTCGGAGAGCTCCGGGAGGTCGCTCGGCTTTAACTGTCACTCTCGTTTGCAGGCTCACTACACGCAGGCTGTGGCCGGCGCTCAGCCAGAGGCCCCGCCCTGCACCTCGCCCAGGTGAGTCTAGGGCCCGCGGGGCCACAATGTCACCACTCAAGCTAGGCCTCCGAACCCTCTCCTTCAGCACCCCGGACCGATCGGGGCCGTGGGCGGAGGCGGGCGCCCAGGGAAAGGCAGTCCCAGACATACTAGAAGCTTCTGGGCGAGCAGCGCAGCCAGGGCTGCTCCTCCCATCGGGCGGCCGCCTATCCGAGAGCGGAGGCCCGTGTGGCCAGAGGGCGGGGGCTGCTTGCCCCCGGGGGCCGGGGCGCCCCCCACTCCCCGGGACGCCGCAGCGTGGCCGCTGTGCCTCGGTTTCTCCGCCTGTCAAACGGCGGGGCCGCGCCCCCGGCCGCGAGCGCGCACACTACCTTCCTCCCCATAGCGGTCGAAGATCTCGCGCTTGCGCGGGTCGCTGAGCACGTCGTAGGCCTCGGCGATCTCCTTGAACTTCTCCTCGGCGCCGGGCTCCTTGTTCTTGTCCGGGTGGTAACGCAGCGCCTGGCGACGGTAGGCCCTCTTGATCTCCTCATCCGACGCACCGCGGGCCAGGCCCAGCGTCTGGTAATAGTCCTTGCCCATTGCCTGCGCGTACGGCCCGGCCCCCCGCCGCGCAGCTGTAGCCGTCCCCCGGCTCCGCCGCCGCCCGCTCCCGGAGTCTATATACTCGCCCGGCGGAAGCTTCCAGAGCCCGCCAGCCCCCTCCAGAACCTTCCTCCCCGCCCCCTACGCAGTTTCGACCAATCGCCGCCGCCCAGGCTGCGACGCGCAACATCCGGGGCGTGGCCGCACCGCCAACAGCCCCCTGCGCGCGGCCACGCCCCTTCCCGCTCCGCCCTCGGCGACACCTCCCCGTGGCGCACGCCCCCGGGAGACGGAGGCCCCGCCCACCCCCCGCGGGAACCAATAGAGATCTTGCTTTACTGCTCCTGACGACCCGGCCGGCCGCGCAGCCCGCCCCCTGCCTGGGTCAATAGGTTACGACGCGCTGCTCCGGGAAGGGGCGGGGTCGGAGAAGGCCCCGCCTCTTCCGTAGCAGAAGCAAACGTGCCCGCTCTTAACTCACAGGGCGTGGGAATCAGTTCCTGCCGGGAGTCTCGGGGTGCGGGAGTTACCTAATCTTTCATTGCCCCAGACACCCACCCTGCTTCTGGGACTAAAATTATCCACCCGCCCTCTTCTTCCGGCTGTGGGTAGAATGCACTTGGGAGCCCCGGTACTGTCCCTGTCCTCACCTATACAGTACCCTGTAAAGCGAGGTGAGCACCCGGGACCAAAGTTCATCTCCCTGGAGAGGTCTTCTCAGTCCAGCTCCTTAAGTCTTTCAGTTTACCGTATTCTCAAGAACTCCTGCCACTGAAATTTGAAATTACCCTGTTCCTTGGTTTTCATGCTAAATGTCACCCTTCTCCCAGCCTGCGACCACCACGAGGGCAGGGATTGGGTCTTGTCGGTGCTGGGTCTCTAGTGGCAGAAACGTGTCTGGAACCGACGCTTCGTAAATATTCCTGGCTGTTTTTAATACACCTTCTTTTTCCCCTCCCCACTACCTTTATGATTTGGGGGAGACATGGGCGTGTCATACACCTCTCAAGACCTCTGTTTCCTCATCTGTGGGCAACATGATCCCTTTCGGCTCTGAGAGTCTGGGGTGTCTGTGGTCAAGGGCAGGGCTGACGGGGTAAGAAGGCTCAGAAAGGGGTACCACCTGAGAAGGGAAGAGGGGTGGGTAGGTGGTGGTGCCCTGTGAAGGAGAGAGTTTCCTGGAAGAACTGATTGGGAGGTCTGGGCGGTGTGACACTGGCTCTGGAGCCAGACAGCCCGGTTTCATTCTTGGTTCCAGCTCTTCCTGGCTGTGTGATCTTGGGCTGGTTACTGAGCCTTCCAGGGCCTTTAGCTTCCTTATCTGTACAATGGGGGTAGTAGTTGTACCTGCCTCATAGGGCTTTGAAGTTGACGTTGATTCAACATTTGTGAAGTGCCCAGGACAGTCCTGGCCTAGAGGAAGTGCTGTCAAAGGGGTGACTAGCCATCTGGTTGAATGGTGGGCTGCTGAGCCACCCGCTTCCTGGCAAAAAGCTTCTGGTAACTACTGCCCTTGTGCAGGCTGGAACTCCTGAGAAAGATGCCATGGCCTTCCCCTGCTGTCTAGCAGGGGGATTCCGGCCATCCCTGGCCACCCCGACCCCAGGGTAACCGTGTCGGTAAGGACTCTGGACTAGGACACACACCAGCTGACCTGGGAGGATGAGTCTGGGCTGGGTGCCCAGGGGCACAGCACTACAGGGTTCCTGAACCAATCATGGAGGGGAGAGAGTTTGAATTTTTTAAAAGCTACATAAACAGATAGCGGGAGAGTCACCATGGGGAAAAACTCAGAGCTTGTGGATTTCCTCACACTTATAAATTTAAGAGTTAACAGATGTGGCAGCCTCCAAGGGTCTTCACATAGCCCTGAGTGGGCCAAAAACATCATGTGAAGGGTGTCCTTGTGTTTAGGGGCAACCTGAGAGCTGCGAACTCTCCCTTCCTTGAGCAAGCCTGGGTCATGTTCAGGAAGTTTTAATTGTTCAAACCCCCCCTCCCAAAAAAGAAAAAAACAAAAACCAAACTCAACATCTCTTCTTATGGCTATGATTCTTTGACCTGGACACTCAGTGGGCACTTTGGAATGTTATTGGAAAAGTGGCCTCTGCAGAAATCTCAGCACAGGTTTGAGCTCTCAACTCAGAGAAGAAGAGAAGATGTGATGGGTAGTTGTATGCATCGACTTGGCTAGGCAGTTGTACCCAGTTATTCAATTAAACACTAATCTAAGTGCTGCTGTGAAGGTGTTTTGTAGATGTGGTTAGGTTAACATCTATAATCACTTGACTCTAAGTACAGGACATGACCATTGGTATTGTGGGTGGACCTCATCCAATCAGTTGAAAGGCTTCTGAGGGAATTCCCTGGCGGTGCAGTGGTTAGGGTTCTGCGCTCTCACTGCCGAAGGCCTTAAAAGCAAATACTGAGGTTTCCCTGAGAATGAAGCATCAATTCCTGGCCAAGAGTTTCCAGCCTGCTGGTCTGCCCTACAGATTTCAGACTTGCCTTGCCAGCCCCCACAATCGTATGAGCCAATGCCTGAAATAAATCTCTTAATACACAGACACACCACAAACACATATATCCTACTGGTTCTGTTTCTTTGGTATCCAATAGAACCCTAATGTAAGAACTAAGCAGGACTTCCCTGGTGGCGCGATGGTTGAGAATCCGCCTGCCAATGCAGGGGACACAGGTTCCATCCCTGGTCCAGGAAGCTCCCACATGCCGCGGAGCAACTACTACTACTGAGCCTGCGCTCTTAGAGCCCACGAGCCACAACTACTGAAGCCTGCATGCCCTAGAGCCCGCGCGCCGCAACAAGAGAAGCCACCGCACCGCAACAAAAAGCAGCCCCCGCTCACTGCAACCAGAGAAAGCCCGCGCGCAGCAACGAAGACTCAACACAGCCAAACATAAATTAAAAAATAAAAAGAACTAAGCAGGTGAGTCTGGAGTCGGTCAGCCTCCGTTGAAATTCTGGACCCACTATTTACTTATTTACTGCCTGTGTGATCTTGCACAACTTGCTCTACCTCTCGAATTGCTAGGTATGTCCTCCATAAAATGGGATAAGGGTAGATCTTACCTCCCAGGGTTGCTCTGTGGATGAATTTGAGAGGGGCCAGGAAATGAACATCATAATAATAGCTAACACTGACATGGTCCTACTCTGTGTCAAGCCGGTTCCAAGCACTGGATCTGTATTAACTCATTTAATCCTGACAATAATCCTATGAGCTTGGACTATCATTACCTCTGTTTTACCGGTAGGGAAACTGAGGCTCTGAGAGGTCATGTGACTTGCCTGAGGTCACCCAGTGAATAAAATGCTGAGGTGTAAAGTGTGTAGCATACTGAGTATTTATGGTAAGCACTCAGCTTATGTTAAGCTGTGATTCAGATGATGATAAAGACTTAATTTTTTTAAAAAAAGCATCGCCATGTTTTTCAACTCTTCTCTTCATGAAAAAGAACTTCAAAAGCATTACAGCCATACAAGCTAACCATCTTCCCCTGGTGGAATACCCATGTGAAATAAAAACCTATGTTCACATAAAAAACCATGAGCAAATGGTTATCAAGGCTTTATTTGTCATTACCAACAGCCATTAAAACCTAAATATCCTTCAGTGGGTGAATGAATAAACTGTGATCTGGCAACATGATGGAACACTATTCGGCCATAAAAAAAGACTGAGCTACTGACACAGGAAACAATGCAGAGGAACCTCAAATGCATTATGTTAATGAAAGAAGCCAGATTCAAAAGTCTATTTACTGTGTGATTCCATTTTAAAGGACCTCTGGAAAAGGCAAGAGTATTGATGCAGAAATTGGATCAGTGGTTGCCAGGGGCTGGGATCTGCTGCAAAGGGATACAGGGGAATTTGGGGGGATGATGGAAATGTTCTGTATCTTTGACTGTGGTGGTGGTTACATGTCTGTATTTATTCAGAACTGTACACTAAAAAAGGTGAATTTTACTGTATGTAAATTATACGTCAATAAAAAGAAAATAAACCCCATGGACTTAAAAATAAAAATTAAAAAGGCAGACAAGATAGAACTTGGGAAACCTCTCTCTGGGGCTCCTGACACAGTGGAAAGTTGCTAACCAGCCCTGGCTTGTCTGCTATAGGCTTTACCTTCCCTCACACAGCTCTGAATCAGCTTGATCACACACCCAAAAACAAGCCAAGCCAGGTTCCTGGAAGAATCAAGATCCTATCTTACTTGCATGTGGGAAATAGAATTTCCCCTTTGGAAACTGCTCTAAGGGACTTATCACATTTGGCTCAGCAAATACCAAATGTATTTACTTGTCACCATTATGAATCAGCCACTGTGCTGGACAATCTAGCTGTCCCTACCAATAGGTATAGTCAGAGCCATGGTACAGTGTCATGAATGGCTTGAACAAAGTGGCCAGTCTTCATTCTGAGGGTGGATTTGGTTTCTGCTGGCAGACTGATTACTGGAAGGCAGGTGAGGCCAACAAGGGGTCCTCACACCTGTAATACCCATCAAAAACAAAGGACTTCTTTGCAGGCTGGATCATGCCTTTCTATGCATTTCTTGTAGGTGAGGAGAGGGACGGAAATTATTTTTATGCCTCGGCTGGCACACAGCATAGTAGGTTCACAAAATTATTTGGTGCCTGTTGAGTGAGTTCAGGGCTCAGGGAAGCAGTCTCGAAAGGGAAATTCCAGAATGTTCTGAGTCTGTAGGAATGTGTGTGGACTCTCCAAAAATGACATCTATTTGGACACCAGATGCCTTGCCTAGCTGGAACCCAGTGATAGGGAAGACATGCTTACTCAGACCACATTGGAGAAGCTGGAAATTGGCAGAACTGGCAAAGTAGCAAAACATGGCTGGGTTTTAGGGGTTCAACCCTGCCCCCTCAGCATCTCAGAAGTAGACACCTCAAGTAACTCAACTTCGTACGATTTAAACTTGTGGCCTCTGAGCGAGTGGTCCCCCATCCCCCTCCATGAGGCCAGGGAATGAGGCCTGTCGGTACATAAAGGATCTCAAGATACTGTGAGCCCCACAACTGCTAACAGGAAGAGATCTGTACAAGAGAACGTACAAGTATAAAACACTATGTTTTCATCTGTTTTGCCCAGATAGGCCCGATGAAAAAGGTAATGAATTTCTGAAGACCACAGCCTTAGCTTCCTTTACTTGGAGACAGGGGTCCCCATAAGCTGTAGCTTCAGAAGTCTCTAGAGCCTAACCTGGATGACTAAGTGCTGAGCATTGACTCACCTTCTCCCTGCCCTGCTCTCCTGTGAATCACAGATCTATCTTTGAGGACTTCTCACCATGTCCCTGATGCCAGGCCTCTGAATTCTGAAGGGTTCAACAGTTGATGAAGGCTCAGGGGCAGGGTCTGGAATCAGGAGAAAGTAGATAAGGTGAGGGAGTGTGCCAGGTCCTGTCTTAAGTGTGCATGAGTGTGTGTGTGTGTGTGGTGGAAACCAGCCTCCCAGCCTGCTCATGACAATCAATGGAGCAAAAGCATGGCATGACCCCAAACCAGCACTGTCCAGTAGAGCTAGTGTGAGAGGCACAACCACCAGCCACATGCAAGCTGTGTTTGATTTTAAATGTTCCAACAGGCACATTAAAGAAGTAAAAAGAAACAGGGGAATTTAATTTTAATAATGTATTTTAATCCAATATATCCAAAATAATATCATTTCAACGTGTAATCAACATAAAAGGTGATTAATGAAGTTTTTTGTTTTTTTTTTTTTACATTTTCCTTTTCGTACTAAGTCTTTGAAATCGGTTTGTGTTTTATGTTTACAGCACACCTCAGTTTTGACTAGCCACATTTCAAGGGCTCACTAGACACATGTGGCCGGCGGTGACCATACTGGACCGTGCAGGTAGAGACAAATGTGGCCTCCGTGCCCTTCGAGTCGAGCAAGGTGGGGCGGGGGCTTGCATTGAAAAGGGAGTGAAGACAGCCCCAGAATGGTTACAGGTTGGGGGCGGTTCCAGAAGGCTTTTCACCACCTATTTCCCCTTTCCTTTCCTCCCATTCATGACAGATACGGGTCCCCTAGCCAGAAAGGCCTCTCCATCCAGGTGCCCCAGCCCATGCTTCCAACCCCCATCCCTCTCCCGTTGCTCCCCGGTATCCCCCGGGGGCCGCCCACCTCGGAATTCATCCAGTCGAGCTGCCCACCACGTGAACGCTGCCTTCTACGTCACTCAACTGCTAGCTCCCTCCCCCCCGCCTTGCAGTAACCTTCGCTTCCCTTGGTTTCCACAGCGACGCCACCAAGGGGCGGGGCAGGGGGGGGGGCTCGCGGCGCCGAGGCCCCCTTTGATTGGTGGGTAGCCAAGCCCCTTCTTTCTACCGACTCCCCTCCCTCTTGCCCGCGCTCCGCCCCCTCGGTGGGTCTTGCAAGCTGATTGGCTAGCCCCGTGGCGAGAGCGGCTATTTCTCGTTCAGACCTGCCCTGCTGGGCGAGGGCGAAGTGGGCGCCCCGTGCGCTGATTGGCTGGAGGGGCGCGCGCGGCAGGGAGGAGCGGGGCGGACGCGGAGCCGCGGTTAGTCTCGCGGGGAGGTCGTGAGCGTGTGAGGTATCCCTTGCAGTGTTGCGCGCAGGTAGCTGCAGCAGCAGGAGCAGAAGCCGCCGTGTGAGGGAGCCATGAAGCACTCTGAGGTAAGAAACGAAGAAACGGGGGCCGAGCGACCGCCGCAGACCCATTTTTTTCTTCGTGAGACAACGGGAACCCCCCCCTTTCTCGCCCTGTGCTGAGCCGGAAGGCGCAGGCGCAGTAGGCGCGCGTTGTGCCCCGGGGCCACTCGTAAATCGCAGTGCGCATATGCGGGGGAGGTACTTCTAATTCTGCAACCCAGACTATTTTGGGGTTGCCTTTTCTTGGGGTCTCTACAGGACCTGGGAAGCTTACAGGTTCCTTGTAGCTCCCCCTGCGGGATGAGTTGCAGACTTAGGCAGGGGAGGAGCGAGGGTGTGAAACCCTTGCTTCCAGTCTGAGGGTGTCTTGCACAAACCTTGCATCCTGCCTCTGCTTCGGGCTTTGGAAGGGGCTTTGCAATCAGCCCAGAGAGGCTTGATATTTGGATCCCTTCCTCGCCCGGGACGTCTCCCTGAGCGGCTTAGGCGGTGAAGGTGTAGCGCCAGTGCTGGCTCCCGCCGACCAGCAAAGCTGATCTTTGTTTTCTGTTAATATAAGAGATCATCTCAGTCAACCTCTGCGTGTCACCGAGGAGAAATCTCACACCCATAACCAGTCTTGAAGTCTAGGTCTTCTGACTCCTAACTCGGGCCTCTTTCCCTTAAAACGAAGTGTTCTGATGCACTTACCGACCTAGCTGATAATATAATGTTAATAATTTAATTAACTATTGCTGCCTTATAAGTAATATTAAATAATAAACTAATTTATTATTAAATTAATAAGGATAATTTGAAGAGTGCTTACTTTTGTGCTCGTGAGATTCTGTTACCTTGTTTTCTTATCTTCACACCCCTGTGAGGTAGGAGACTATTAATTATTCTTGTTTTTGTAGATGGAGAAACAGTCTCAGAGATGTCAGATGACTTGCTCAAAGGTTCTGAGCTAGTAAATGCAGAACAGAGAGAGAAACTCCGGACTCCAGAGTCTCAGTTGCTAACCACTATGCCATACTGGTCCCCAAATGAAAATGAGCAGGTTGAGAGTTTCTTGGTTTTTTTTTTCCCTTCCCCAATTAAAAAAATTGTGGTAAAATACACATAAAATTTACCTTAACCATTTTTTTTTTTGCGGTACGCGGGCCTCTCACTGTTGTGGCTTCTCCCGTTGTGGAGCACAGGCTCCGGACGCGCAGGCTCAGCGGCCATGGCTCACGGGCCCAGCCGCTCCGCGTCATGTGGGATCTTCCCGGACCAGGGCACGAACCCGTGTCCCCTGCATCGGCAGGCGGACTCTCAACCACTGCGCCACCAGGGAAGCCCTACCTTAACCATTTTTAAAAGCACAGTTCAGTGGCATTAAGTACGTTCACATTGTTGTGCAGCCATCACCACCATCCATCTCCAGAACTCTGTTCTTTTCATCTTGCGTAACTGAAACTCTGTACTCGTTAAACACTAACCCCCCTTCTCTTCTCTGCCCAGCCTCTGGCAACTGTCTACTTTCTGCCTCTGTGAATTTGATCATGTTAGGTGGCTCATGTAAGTACAAGGAGAGATTTCTTGTTTTTATTCACCAGTGGAATACCGCTGTTTCTGCCCACCCCCTTTACTACTACTACTACTACTACTATTATTACTTTTGGCGGTAATTTACCCAGAATATTTTGAAACCTTTAACCCAGAAGTCCTTAGTCATTTTTGACATGGCTCAGAAATGAGGAGGTAGGATTCAATAATCTCATGCTTCATTCAACTTTATGATTATAGATTGAAGTTCTTCTAATAAAGTTCTCCTAATACAGTTTTCCCTCTCAAGACCTCTGTGCAACCCTGGAGAAAAAGGCACATTCACTTTGAAAGATGCAGGATGGAAGATACGTGTGGTCTCTTACAAAATGGAGTTAGTTTTGCTAGTTGGCAGGCAGATAAAGTAGGCCCCAGAGGACCCTTGGGGTGGGCACTTTTGTTCTGGGAAGCTGGGCATAGCCTGAGGCCCATGGCTTGGACTGGAGGACATGCTCTACTTTACTCAAACCCTTTCCCTCCCAGAAGGAGGGAGGGGCTTCAAACCCACTGTTCAAAGTGACCTTGGAGAAAGAAAATAAAATTGTTAATTTGCTGTGTTCTCTGTTACCATTCTCTGCTAACATTTGCCCAGTAAGCACTGAGGTCATAGCTACAGAGTTTCCGTACAGGAGGAGCAGTTGTCTCCCAGCCCAGTTTGCACAGCACGCCAATCAGCTTTTTTTGTTTTTTGTTTTTTAAATTATTATTGGGGTATAGTTGTTTTACAATGTTGTGTTAAGGCCGATCAGCGCTCGATGTTTGTTGCAGACTAATAAAAATGGCAGAGATTCTTTCCCTCACATTTAACAGTTTGAGAAAAGGTGTCAATTATCCATAGCAAAGAATGTATTTCTGTTGGGGACTAAGTCCATCCTTCCACCCCCAAGCGACCCCCTATCCACTGAGTGATTAACAGCCACCAGAAAGACCTTTTTGACTCTGAGAGAGACCTTGGAGACTATGACGTGTAATTTACAAGCGATAGAGATGCTGCTCAGAAAGGTGCAGGACTTGCTCAGTGACACAGTGAGTTAGTGAGGGTTGATATCTGATGTTTTTGGCAGGTAGGATTCCAGCTGGTGGGGAGATTTGCTGCTGCTGTGATGACAGTTTGCTGACACTGCCATTCTCCCTTCTATGGTCTTGAGAGGATGATGTGTCCCTTCAGTGGCCTAATTGAGACAAAGCAGGTAGAACAGGTGACTCTCGGGCTTTGGCTGAAGCAGTTCCTCGGAAGGCAGAGCAGGCCTTGGGATTGTCTTGGGATCAGAGCAACGTTGATGAGGGAACTGCTTATCCGAGGCTATAGGATTTTTTTTTTTTTAATTTTGTTTTGCCATTGCAGATGAGAGGTCAAAGTAATGATCCCAGTAGCAGCTCAAAAATAGTTGCTATATCTTGTGAGTCTGTTAATTCCTAGAATGATCAGTCCCTCTCAGCCTTCTTGGGCCCAGGTCACTGCCCATTTCCCACAGCTGGGTTCCCGGAGGCAAGGCAGTCCCCACTGCCCCATTTAGGATCTTCCACCCCCTCCCCCCCAAAAAAGGGTAGCTCTATTGGTTCTCATCTTGTGAATAATCCTCGACCAATACAGTTCTTGCTTCAGTTTTCTCCACAGGAGTAAGTATGCGAAAGTTCTGGAAGCAAGAGTTCTGGTCAAGAGGCAATTGTTTAGAGCCGGAAAACTGGGTGGAAGGTGAAAATTAAGGAGAACGTAGACTCATGTGTAATGGTGCCATAGGTGCATGGGCTTTGGACAGGCCTGGCTCTGCCACTCACTAAATAATTGTGACCCAGCGCAGGTTACTTAATCTCTCTGAGCTCCTTGGAGCAAAATCTGTTTAATTGTGACAGCAAAGGCCAGCAATAAAGAACATTATGAAATTGCTGGAAATGTATCCTCAAGGGGTATGCATAAAATGAGAGGTGCTACATGTAGCTCTGGTTCATTTATTTTAACTGTTGTGCACGATTCCATTATATGAAAAACAATCTAGTTTGATTTCCTGGTCCTTTAATAAATCTCCGAACATCCTGTAGAGTGGAAAAAAAGCAAATAGCAGAAGATTTTATAAATTTAAAAAACATGCCAAATGAGACTTATGTGTGTTGTTTATGGACATATACCTAATTAAAGGATAAATTGTAATATGAGATGAGAAATGTATGGAAATTACACAGTAGTTAGAGGAACCGTTGCTTGGGTAGAGATGGAGGGGGAGGAAAAGGCATAGGGAAGGTTTCAGCTATTTTTTTTTTTTTTTAAGGGAATCCGATGTAAATAGAGTAAAATATAAATATCTGTTTAACCTGGGAGGTGGCATCCTAAGTGTCTGTTGTTTCCTGTACTTTTTTCTTCTGAATTCTTGTGTCCTTCTGAAGTAGAAGGTGAGGGATAATTTGGGTTCTTTTGGCCATCAAGCGCTGTTTTAATATGCTGGTCTCTGACTTTTGCACTTAAATTTGGTGCCTGTTTGCAGGAAAGTGTTGTGCTCTGAGTTGGGGCTTGTTTGATCTCTCATTCACACTTTCTGCAGGCTGCATCCAGCAGGCCTTCAGAAAACGCTTTTGGGATTGATTTTGCGTTTGCAGGCAGGATGGGAACCCAGTTATGATCCCCCTCTTTCTGGGTTACTTTTTGTTGCTGGATAATAATATCAGCGACAGGGCACACTTCTCATGTCCTTCCAAAAAGCCTGAGAGGTGGATACTCCTTGTCTCTTCGTTTTGTGGATAAAGAACCAGAGGCTCAGAATGGTGAAGGAACTTGTCCAAGATTACAGCATAGTGGAGACAGGATCCAGACCCAGGTCTGTCTGATTCCTCATCCGTAGAAGAGCCAGAGCCGCGGCATTGTTGGTGATGCTGGCAGTGCTGGTAATAACAGCGACCAGAGTTTACTGAGTCCTGTGAACACCTGATCCGGTGGGCACCAGTGTTAACTTCTACTTTACAGGTAAGGAAACTGAGGCTCAGAGAAGTCGGTTAAATTGCTCAAGGTCACAGAGCCAGGAAGCAGTGGAGCTGGGCCTTGGCCTCCGGTTTGCCTGACTCCATTGGCGGGGCCTGGGTGGAGGAGGTGGGCGGGAGAAGCTGAGTGCTGGGTGTGGCTGGGCGGGTGCAGGGCAGGGCAGCTGTTAGAGCCCGCTGGTGGGACACTGGGGTGCGGACGGGGAACCCTGAGCCTAGCGGAACCTCTTGAATAACTGGTTCCTGAGGAGTGAAAAAGGTGGAGGGTTGACAGCCCTGCGTGGAGGGGTGGGGACTGTGCTCCCCAAAGACTACCTGTCTTGTTAACGCAGTTGAGTTTGTTTGGGAAACCCTGTACTTTCACTGACAGCCTTGGCTGGATGAGGATGAGAAAAGCCCGAGACCTTGGGCTGGTTGGTCAAGTTCAGGTGAGGTCTTAACACCCTCTTGCTCATATCGACAGTGGTAGCTGAGGATGTTTTAAT